AAAAAAAAAAAAAGAAGAACAAACACTCACATTTGACAATTGCTTAATCCAACTAAAATCATTCTAAAAGACCTCTCTCTATCGATAATTTTTCATACCAGCGCCATCTTACTCTTTGTTTATCTTTAGTAAAAAACAAAACAATTTGTTTTTCTTTCTTATAAATAAAACCTATTTCATGGCAAAAAAAAAATTCAAAATATTGAAAATAACAAAAAAAAATTCAAAATAAATGAAGTTTATTGCTTAGCATCAATTTCAATAATGGTAGTTGAATTGACGAATCATGAAATATTTAATTGAAACAAAGAATATCTATTGCACACAAAAAATTCTTGTTTTTTTTAAAATACATTGTACATAATTCCTCGTAATTTTTAATGTTTCATACTGGATCATATTCAAAACAAATAGAATATTATTATTCACATTCAATTTATACACTATATAGTAATCAAAAACAATGTTAGATGATGAACGATTTATTAATCATAAAAATCATTTATTTGATTCTCAACCATTACAAACAATTCAAAGAAAAATTAGTAAACAAAAAAATTTTGCAGGTACACATCGATATAAATTATTTAATACTTCTTTTATTTATTACATAATGATCGAATAATTATCTTTAGAGAATTTTTCATTTAATTCAAGATTTATGATGCTCTTAAATCATTTTTCTATGTGATAAAATACAAGAGTAGTTCATAAAGAATTTCTTTAAAGAAAAAAATTACATTCTCACACACTTTACCCTTATGAGTAAAAATGATTAGTGCAAATTATTCTAATCGAATAATAACAATTCGTTGTCATTATATGAAAACATTTCTAGATATCGTTACATTTTTAAGTCGAAACTTAGTGTAATCATTCATCTTAATCTAGATATGATTGTGAAATCAGTAAAAATCAATTATTTCTAAGATTTCATTTGTTTATTTTGATAGAAAATCATATTGAACAATCGAATGGTGATGAAATGTTTGAATCATCGTCATTTGAAAATGATCATATTCTTAGACATTCAACTAATTCAAGAATGTTACATGAAAATAATGATATTATTCTAACAAATGATTTTCAATATGAACAATTTCATCAACCAAATACACGTAAAATTACGAAAATTATACCAAGTAAAAAAAAAGAAAAAAGTTTAAAAATTAAATTCTAATAAATAATTTTTGTTTTTTATAGAAGAAAATAATTCATTAATAAATAATCGACCTATACAATTACGTAGTACAAGTGCTTCAAATATAAAACGTGAAAATAAAGATTCATCTCTTACTCGAAATGATATACAACGATTAAAACACGTTCGTCGACATGAACCAGCTCATGTTCAATCAGATTCTAAAACAAGTAAAAACTTTTTTTATTATTTTAAATTTAATTTAAAAAAAACATAAATACATTTTAGGTTTAATTACACCTGAATCATGGAAAACTGATCCAGTTGTTATAAAACGATCATCAAGAAATAAATCAACTATTGAAAATGTTAATAAACCAACAAAAATTAATAATATATCAAAACCAATTATTGAACAGTCAACTACTGAAAATAAACAACGAACAGAAAAAAAACTTAGACCAAAACGTGATACAAGTTTGTTTTGCTTTAAACTACGAAAATTTGTTTACATATTTCTTTCGCATAATCAATCATTGTTATTATTATTTTAGGTGCTTCAAAATCAACTATAATAGAAAGAATATCAGCTAAATCAGCACCACCATCAACAAAAAGTATATTTTTTATATAAATTAAAAATCCTTCTATTGTTTGATTGTTTATTTTTAGTTGAAAAAACGAAAGAAGAAAAAGAACAAGAAAAAGAAAAAATAAAAAAATATATTCAAGAAAAACGAGAACAACATGAAAAAAAAATACTCGATGAAAAAAATAAAAAAATAATTCAAGAAAATGAACGAAAAGATAATTTAAAAAAATTATATAAAGAAACTAAAAAAGTTTCTCAACAACCATTACCTTCATCATTAATTAAAAAATCAGCTACAACAGTAGATTTTCTAGAAATTTTTCTTTTTCAAAAACTAAAAAAAACAGACTAAATTTTATCTATAGACACTAACAAATGATTTAACCGAACAAAAACGTGAACGACTTCTTAATCTACTTGGTCCAAGAGAACCAACAGAATATCATAATAATATACCTTTCGAACAACCTTCATTACATGAACGTTCATCATCGAGTTCATCATCAAGTTCTGATTCAGTTATTGAAATTCAACCATCAAAATTGTATGATTATTATCAAAGATTTCTTTTTTTTTTTTTTGTTATTGTAGTTTTTCTTTCTAGAAATGATAAATCATATTCTGAACCACCTATTCAAAATGGTAATAAATAAAATAATTTTTCTATTATCGGAATTTTAAAAAAAGGCCATCGGGTAAAATGCGTATAACTTTTGAATGAAGATAGCTAGAACCCTGCGGTTTTCACCATTCGAAAGAGGACACCTTTTCCTCCAGTGCTGTATAGGACGAAATCAGTCATACGCTTAAAAATTAAAAGAATTCTATAGTTTTCGTATGATTGAATAGACAAGTTTATTTGTTCAACATTATGAGGTGGAAAGATAATCATTCGAATTATATCTTGAACTATACATCTGAAGTTCCTCTATCTAGATCAGATGTCAGAACCAAAATTTCATCTGAATGACAGATCGTTTTCATGTATTTTTTCGATGTTTTGTAGAAATGACTGATTTTTAAATGATTTCGTCCTATACAATATTGAAGGAAAAGGCGTCCCATTGTCTCCCCTTTCGAATGGTGAAAACCCCAGGGCTCTAGCTATCGTCGTTCAAAAGTTATAAGCATTTCGCTTGATGGCCTTTTTTTAAAATTCCGATAATAGATGTTGTATTTTTTGTTTATTTCAAGGTATTATGAATGATGTTAAACAACGACATCATAATATACTTCGATGGGCTAATAATTTAACACGAGATTGTGACGCTATTGAAAATAAATTTAAATATTTTCGACCAGGTAAAAATAGAAAAATTAAATTTTCCTGTGTGAAAATCTTTCTACGAGTAAAACAAAATTTACCGTATGTTTTATAAATGAGAAGACTTAAGCAATATCATGATGATTATTCACGTATTATTAACCTCTTGAATATCGCTAGCTTTAGATTGAAGACAAGTAGAATGCAAGAGGTTTTTTTCATTCTGTCGTATCGATAAACAGCTGTGAAACGAAATGTTCATTAATATGGTTGTATCAATCCACGCTTCATATACGATAAAATATAGCATGTATACACCTGATTCATGAAGGTAGAATGCAAGAGAGTGATTTTTCTATAAGATCGTAAAGAACACAAGAATTATCGGTATCCAGGAAGTTAATCTAAATTTCGTGATGAAAACAAGATAATCGGTCTCATATGATTCGTACTGCAAAGAAAGATTACTTCAACTTTAATCTCTTTCTTCACAAAGCACATTTCAAATAGAGATCGGTAGTTTCAAGAAATCAAAATTGTTCAACCATTAAATAGATATGAATAGTAGTGAAACAAGTATTTCAGCTCATCTTAAGTTACATAAAGAGTTACTTTAACATAAGCTTTTAATAAGAGCTTTTTTCGTATAAAGTTTGAAGTCGAAACTCTTACGTGACTGGAGGGGATCACATTGTTTTGTTGAAAAATCCAGTAAAATTTCGATATCTCAAGAATGATGGTCCAAAAATCAAACCATTCGAAACTTTTCTATTGCTCATCGAATGAACATCATCTTGTGAGACCACTCTGGTCTCATCATTTTTGATTTTTTTTATTCTTGAGAGTATAGCTTTCAATATATATACCCTAAGTCGTTGATTCTGCATTTGGAAAACAAGCGAAGTTTAGACACAGAATTTCGATCGTTTCCCATCAGTAGTTGTCTGGAAGTCAGAGAAAAAACTGAACACTTTATGCACTGAAATATTGTGGTCAATGTCTATCAACTTCTGGGTTCTTTTTTTTTTTGATGGAACTAACCCGTATGCTTTTAACTGGATAATATTGTTGTGTAGCTGTATGAATAAATAGATTGAAAATTCTTTGACATCTATCAACGGTTTTAGTTCCATAGGATATTCGATGAACCGAACCGAAACTATCGAATTCTAATTTTTAAATCTTCCGATCGAAGTTTGTATCAAGTGAAGAGAATCCAACTTTTTATTTTTATACTTACGATATTTTACTTTTATACGTACAACAATCAGACTTGTTGGCAATAAACAATAATTCATTTTTCTGCTAATAATCAAACTTCTGAAAGAGATTGAATATTTCATTATTAGAATTTATGTATAGATAGAGACGTTAGAAAACTAATATTTCCATGAAGATTTGTTTTAATCATATTTTTTTTTTAGACGGTACTCAACAATTTGATATTATTCCATCTTCTCAAAAACAACATAAATATGATGATGGTAATTTACGTTTTCAAACTCCTGTTCGAATAGATAATAATAATACTGATTCGAAACCAATTATTCCATCAAAAATAATACGTCCATCAGGACGTTTAAGTCATTTAAATCAAAATCATACAAGTGAATATCAAGGTCAACAATTACCAGGTGTTGGTAATCTTCGTGATCCATTATTAGAACGACGTATAAAACGTGATCTTGCTGCAACTAAAATTCAAGCTGCTTATCGTGGTCATACAGTAAGAAAATCACTTCATTGGATTAATGGAAAACAACAACAATTACATAGTGAATTTAATAAACGAGTATATTCTTCATTTTATTCATTCTTCGATCGAAGAAAAAAACAAAAAGAATCTTTTTGTTTTTTTTTAATTGTTTAGCCCATGCATAAATCTACAAAAAAATTTTCCAATACAACAGATATACGTGACGCACCAGCCATAAATTTAGATATTCGTTTTACAGATGATAATTTTACAATCGGTTCAACACTTTTACGTAATTATCAACGAAATGGAAATAATACAATGCCATTAAAAAGTATGTATAATAGAGTGTGAACTGTATTTTGATACTTTCAATGAAATTATCTAATAGAAATTGAAAGATACGAGATACTTTTTTCCTTCGGTTTTGTTTTTGTATTTGATGATTTCAAAATTTAAATTTGAATTTTTCTTTTGCTTCGGTTAGGTCCACGTATATTCGATAGATCTGAACACGAACAAAAACCAACAGCATTAGAAAATTATTCAGATGATTATGAAAATTTCTCAAGTACAACATCATCATCTATGTCAATTAAACAACAACGAACACCACAGAAACCTCGAGTTATTCAACAACCAATATCAAGTAAGTTTTGTTTTTTTAAATAATTTGAAAACAATAAGAGGAGAAATAACTCGGGATTTTAAGTACTATCTAGGATCGATAAAAAACCTTGGCAAATATTCTTACTAATAAATTAACTACTTATTGTATTTCTAGAGGATTAAGTAAAAGGATCGTGAAGATATATGTCCGAAGATAGACAGAATAAAATAATCTTCTTGTGATTAGCAATAGCAGTTATATCGTATTTCACATGTTAATCCCTTAGGGATTGTGCTAATAGCTTTTTTCAAAACAACTTATTTCTAGTCAGAGAAAATTCGATTTCACCAAAGAAAAACCAAGAAATTTTAGGAAACTTATGTCTGAGTTCAGTAATATTAATATTAACCATGGGGATATCGAATATATAGGAGAATATTTTGATAAAGTTTCAAATTAGAATATAACGAGAGCGCTCATTTTGCTACAGAGAAAACTTCTACTAGTAAACACCTCCTAATTATGAACGGTACCAAGTTCAACGGAGCGATTTTTACTGGAAATGCCTCTCTGTAATGTCCAGAAAAGTGCTAGTTGTAGATTAAATAAATTCTAGATCAGGACCAGAATCAAAATAACTAAAACCATCGGGACCACTATCCAAGCCAATAAATAGTGGCCGGTGACTTCCAAAAATAGATCCGAGTAGAAAAGAAGTTATCAGGATCCAAAAATCTAAAATCATCGTGACTGAGACTACTAGAATTCTAAATATATACAAATAATGTAAAATTCTTTCATATGTTTTCCCTTTCACATAAAATTTCTTTAGATACGAAAAGTACTAGTTCTTCGACATCACCACCATCTTCGTCCAGTCTAACTCCAACACCTGAACCTGTTGTACATTCTAATATTCACCGTCGTCGTTCAATTTCTCCTCCTATACCACCAGAAATGTCTCCAGATAATGGTCGACCTATTCGTTATCCTCAACGTCCTCCTCCTCCTCCAATAACAACAACAACAACATTTAATCGAATATTAGATGAACGTCGTTATTCACCTGATGCACTTGAAAGACAATTAAATGCTGAATTAAATTTACTTGATGGTGTTGAAGCATCAATGAAACAAATTGATAATATGGAACGATTAAGATCAGTTGCACTTGCACAACAAGAAGTTGTTTCACTTGCACAAGCTTTAAAAAATGTAGAATTTTGTTTCTTTATTTGACGATTATTAACTTGTTTTCTTTTTTCTATTATAGAAACCTTCAACAGATAGTGGTACATCTCAACAACAAATACGAAAGTAAAAATAAATCTTTTTTTTTTGTTTTTTATTCTTTATTATCAATTCTATTCAATTAAAGACATGTTGCTCGAGAAATTTCATCTGTCTCTTCCTCCTCCTCATCGTCATCATCAAATCGAAAACATCGTTCACCTTCACCTCAACATTCATCATCAAAAACTAAACATTCCCATCATCGAATTACTCAATCACCTGGTTCATCATCATCGGAATCGTAAGAATTCGAATATATTTTTTTGTAATAATTTATTGATGTTCTTTTTGTTTTTTGTCCCCAATGAAATCAATTGACTATTTCAGGCATAATATAGAAAATAGCTTTTTTTAAGGATAGCTTATTTAGATATTTTATTATATTTTACTAACCAATATATGCACTAATAGATCTTTTTTTTTTATTATTTGAAATGCTTCTTGTCTTGTATATGTATTTTATACCTTAGTTTCAAAAGAAAAGAAAAAGAAAAAGAAAAAAATTTTTTTTTTTTCGAATGATAACATTAGTTAATATAACGTAAATATCGTGGTAAATTAAAATTCGAATGAAAGTATGTATTTGATGCTTTCCCTCTTTCATCTTTATTAATTGGTTGTTCAATAAATCTATAAAAATATAATGTTGGATAATAATAATAAAAATAATTATATAGATCAGATTCACGATTATTAATATTATCATCTGATTCGAGTATAGCCATAAGTTCATCATCTATTATAAGTGGTCGATGATGAAAATAAGAATGAACTAGTAAACCAAAGAATAAGATGAAAAAAATATAACGATAGATAATGATCATTGTTTGAATAATTCTTTATATTGCTAAATAAGTTCTATGTTATATAAAAGGTAAAATAGAGAAAAAGAAAAAATGAGTAATAAAGTTAAATATTTTCTTTAGAACAAAAAAAAAGAAATTCTTTGATAACAATAATGAAAATATTGGTTCTTTTTTTTTTCTCTCTTCTAAATTTTCTTTTAGAATCTTCACTAAACGTCAAAAACATGTACATCAAAAATTTCATAATGAAACTGAATTACAAGCATATGAAAAACGTTTAACAGATATTGAAAAACAAATTCGTATACTTGTTAAAAATGGTATGTTTATTTTCAAAAAGTAAAAAAAAAAATAATTATTATTGTTTTCTTTTTTAAAATAGCTCCTGAAGTACTCGATGAAAAACGAAATATTTCAACTTTACGTGTATCATCTAAATCAAGTGATGAATCAAGTATTAGTGAACATTTACCTATATCACATAAATCATCAAGGTAATAATTTATTCTTTAATTTTATTTTTATATTTAATTATTTTTATCTTTAGCTCAACAAATGGTACTGTTCAACGAAAAAAAAAAAGAATGATACTGGTGAAATTCATACAGAAACGTACGTAATCATTTACAGTTATTCTTTTTTTTTCTTCTAATTGATCGTATTAAATGACCCTCAAGATCTTATCTTCACTAGAAAAGCTTTGATAGACAAATTAAACTTAATGCATTAATTGAAAAAAGAATTTGATCCATTCATTAAAATAATGAATGTATCACGATAAACATCGATAGAGATACATACTTAAGGCAATATATTACGAATTACAGTAAAATCCAGACTGAACGATAGGAATGATGAGAATATAATTTTTATGAATTTTTCCTTGACAAACTATATGGTCAGAACAATAGATATCGTGATAAAAAATCTCAAAGTTAATTTATGTATTATCGCGAAGTAAGACATAAACAACAGTTTGTTTTGTAAAATACACTAGAATTATATACTATTACTATATTCTAATAGTAAGTTCGGATTGTTGAATTGAAATAATAGATGAAGAAATATATCGATTTAATTCAAAGTTAATGTAGTATGACTTTTTTTCCAAGGAAGACAAAGACTTTTATAATGGAACGGAAGAACAAAATGTGCGTGGAAGTATCTTGAAGAAGATAAGGAACAAAAGTTAATTAAGAGAGCCGCAGTGTATCTTTCCAATAAGAATTTCTTTTTTCTTTTTTGAATACTTATTCCGCTCCAAATTATATGCTATACCAAACAATGAAATCTAATAAAAATAGCCTTGAAATTCATCTGATCTCTATTTGTTATTTACATAATACAATATCATCTAAATTAAGATTGTACTGATATGATAAATCAAAATTTTCAACAATATCTTTTCTATAGAATTCTATTTTTTATGAACAGGATGAAAAAAAGACTTATTAAACGTATCAAGTGGCAAGTGATCAGAAAATAGCTTCAGTCGAAAAAATACACTACTCTTCGCCTGAAATGGCGAAGGTTTGCAATGTTTTCTAGGGACGTCTGAAGAAGGGAGAGACGTTCGGGTCTGAAATTTTTGTATCCGAACACACGAGCACGCTGATAGTCGCAATGAAATTTTCTAATCAAATTAGGTGTTTCTTCTCGAATTATGATCATTTTACTTTTACACAAGAATTCCACATATAGCATAGTTTTTAGACATACAATCTCTTAAGAAGAAATCATTCGTTTAAGCTGAAACTCATGCTATCCTGCAATAGGCTAAAAATTCAATAAAATAATCATAAATTCGAGAAGAAAGGTCAAATAGCACGAACTATGAGTTCAAACGGAAATTATCAGTCGAATGAACTCTCTCGTCAGACGACTAGAGTCCGAGACGACTAACCCAATGGATTCTAGTAAAAGGTCTTACAAGTGATTGCAAGATTATTTAGTTCATATTTTGTTCATAAGTAGAATACCACTAGTTTAGCATGTAGTCTTCAAAGAATTCTGCTCATTATTGAGATTTGACAAAGATATGAATAGTTTTCGTAATATAAGAATTTTCAATGTTTTTTGTAATTCTATAAAAGTACTGTGTTTTGAAACAATCTAATAATACTCTACTTATTTAAGACGAAAATTATCAATTATGATATTAAAAATATATTTAATTATAAAAAAAAAAATATAATCTATATATATAATGTTCAGTGTTTGTCTGACGTCTCTGTGCCCAGGTTAAAGATCAAATAAGGGTATACGGGGGAAGGCTATAGATGCTGCTATATTGGGATACCCATAGGTCCTCAAGAGCTGTTATATGAGGGTACCCATAGGTCTTCAAGAGCTATAAGAGGTAGGGGATAAGGATATAAGGGTATAGCAGATAAGGAGACGAGACTACATTGAATATAATGGATAAAGGAATAACGGAATAAGATTATAGGAGGTAAAACCACAAGAGTGTAAGATTTCAAGGATATAAGGTCTCTCGATATATATAATGCGAACTGTCTGATTGTCTATTACCGAATCAAGGCTAAAGGACAGATGTGAAACTTTACAGGAAAAAAGCATCCTGCAGTATACACGGGCTCTTGCTAGTTAATAGCTCATGATTAATTAATATTCCAATAAGAGCATAAGTGCTTTTTACTAAAATGTAGCCCGTTAAATTCTCCACTGAATCGTATATAAAAGAGCTTTCAACCATCATCAAATAACAAGAAAATTAGCTGACTACTAAGAATGGTGCTAAACTTTTTTCTATCGGAGAAAATATTCATGTTCTAAAAATTTTTCACATCTCAGTCTTGTAGGCTGTTTTGAGTTCTATCAAAAGCACTATTTAAATATTCTCAATCAGCTGTCCATAACGAGAAATTAAGAAAATAAAGCTGTTGATAAACTTTTTTTTCATCACTTTACTGCTGATAAAAATTGTAATTATTTCAACATGAAAAGAGAATCAAACATTTTATTAAGTGCTTTCAATTGTAAACTTCAAACCCTCTATTTACTATAATCCGTATACTTCGATATTTAATCATACGAAAGAGAAGAAAACTTATCGAATTACGATAAAGTAAGGAGTATAATATTATTAGTTCCTAACTTCTATGTGAAGTAAGAACAACATTCCTTTCGATTATGTATTTTACTCACTTCCTTCGACCTTCATAATTTTTTTTTCTCGTAGAATTGGCAGAGATAGTGATTCATCATCAACATCAATTCATCAACAAAATTCTGGTAAATGAATATATATATATATACTTTATCTAGGAAAAATAAAAATATATATATCATTAAATTAATATTTAGATATTATTACAACAGATGCTAGTGATATTGAACGTCGTATACGTTCTTATCGTGAACAATTAAAAAAAAAAGAAATGGAACTTAATAAATTAAAACATGAAAAAACTAAAGAAGTTTTAAGAAAACAAGAAGATGAATTAAAAAAACAACTTCAAGTATGAATAAATTAATTTTTATATATTAAACTAAAATATTCATTAGAATGAGATATTTTGAAAAATTTTAATGTTTTTTTAGACAACTACTCATGAAATTGAAAAATTACGTCTTCAACCCGAACCTAAAATACCTGTTCCTTCACGTCAATCACCATTGAGATCTCGAAATAACAGTGGCAGTAGTACTACTTCAATAGAAATAAAACCACAAGAATCAAGTATATCTGAAGACTTACCAGTAGCAACAACTTCACAATCGAAAACGGATAATATTATTGTAAGATTTTAAATTAAACTATTATTATTATTCTTATTAGAATATTTATAAATAGAATAAACCAATTGAACAAAATCGTCCAATAGTAAAGAAAATACGAGACTTTTTCGATGATGATGATGAAGAAGAAGAAGAAAAACCACAATTAAAACCTTTAGAAACACCACGTGATGAACGAGATACACGACAGGATGCTCAATCAATATCAATTGCTACTGATTTATCTGCTGCATCAGAAACTGACAATGATAGTAGTCATCGTCCGAGTAGTGATAATGAAAAGTAAGTGTTGAAAATTAGAACGCTTTTCAGTCGGGAGGGTTTTGCGCATCTTGTAGCCTTTAGTGAAATCAGTTTTACAAAATAGTTGATCGATATATCACAAAACAATTATTTTTTGATTATAATGAAAATAATAATCAAAAAAGAAATTTTTTTCTACACTGACTGCAACAGATAAATGGAGAAAAGTCTAGAACGATTTAGTTTTTCGAATCTTCGTTCTCGAAAAAGTTCTTCTAGTATTTCCTTTCTGGAGATGTAAATTTGCTTTTACACATCAGAGAATTTCGAATATTGAATATCTCCGAATAGGAGACACTAGAAAAAGCTACATCTTATCCAAAGAATCTGAAGAGATTCACTCGTCAGCTAGAATCGTTTGATCGGAAGGATCTATTCGACGTTAATTTGTTAATATCAAAATAAAAAATCGAATATTTTTATCTCATAGATCAATATTAAATTTAAATATAAATCTTCCTTCACTATTAAAACCACAAAAAGATTCTGAATCTTCATCATCTTCGACAACAACAGCAACAAGTAAAAAATCTTCTAAACAACAAATACAATCACGATCATTTGAACGTAAACCATCACCAATTACAAATGATTATGATGAAGATTTTTCTGATACTAGTCATTCACGAACTAGTCATACAAAAGAATCTTTATCAAAACCAAAAATTGATAATATTGATATTGAATCAATTCAAGAAGATCTTAATATTAAACAATCATTACATGATACAAGTCAAAGTTCATCATCAAAATCTAGTGGTGATGAACAATCAGAAATTCTTGTTCTTGTTAAAAAATCAGCTACTAATACACCTCGAAAACAAGATGATAAAACTCCTAATGAAGAAGAACGTTTTCGTTCTATTTCTCCTCCTCCTTCTCCTCCTAAACCAGTACAACAACAACAACAACAACAACCTAAAATTGAATTAAATAATAATGATGATACTTCTGATGATGTAAGCGATGATAATGATGACGATGAATCTAATCAACGTATTGAACAAGAACATAAAATAGATAAATTAACTGAATCACTTATTCGAACATTTATTGATGAAGCTATTGGTCAAGGAAAACAAATTGAACGTTTAAAAAAAGAAACAAATATATTAACACAAGAAGCTAAAGAGTGGATGTCTGATGATGATGATATAACTGATGAAGAAAATTCAAAACCAATTATTGTTGAATCAGTAATTATTATTATTATTATTGTTTTTTTGTTTTAATACAAAATTTTTATATACAAAAACAAAACAATATTTATTTTAGAATGGTTTTGCACTTGATCTTAGTCGATTGGATGAGAAAAGTTGTAAGTCATTTAATATCTTCCGTGATAGATTCATATCTATACTAATAATCAATATTCAATAAGATGAGATTTATTTAATCATAAATTGCAGCAGCATCCCGATAGACGCTACGATTCGTATTTTATATAGAGATGTCCAAAGTAAGCTTTTCTCGTGCTCGAACTGAGAAAGATTTCCACGCCCTCTTGATACTTAATGAAATTTTTTTAATTCGCACTTGATAATCGCCCAGGAACACACCCTTTACAGTTCTGAAGCGCAATCTCGATCATGATCTTATAAGAATCAACTTATAATTGACTCTTTTTTTCAGAGTAGCACCCATGAAGTCAGACCCAGATCCGGTCAAAAGGAAATTTTTGGACCTGGATCCGATCCTGACCCAACTGGGTTCAACTCGACAGGCTCTGATCTACACCCTTTTTCTTGATTTGTCTGTATTGACTATTGGATGAATTTGTTTTATTTGAAAAATTTTCGTATAGAATGCTATAGAAATTGAGCGAGTATCTGGAAAGTACCCATGTAGTGAGACAATTCTCAGCAGGATATCCAACCAAGGTCTTGTAACATACTGGTAATTGAATACCTAAAAAGGTACCCTCAGTAAACAGATACCTTATGCTTCCAAGAGAAAGGTCCGAGATGATTAAACGCTTTTGAACCCATATTGTGCTTACTGGTAGAAGATCGATAGACTAGAATATCCTCTAAAAGGTTCGTACTGACATTAAGATTTGTCCAAGATATTGACTTTTTAGTGAATTTTCTCTGTCTCGATCCAATTTTTCGTTAAAATTCTATTGTCGAATTTTTGTCTGAAAACTCTACAATAGAATTTTACCGCAAAATTAGACCTGTACAGAGAAAATTCACCAAAAAGTCAATATCTCGGACAAATCTTAACGTCAACACGAACCTTTTTTGGAAGGTGTTCTAGTATCTCGATCTTCTACCAGTGGGCATAACATCAGCTTAAACAATACACGAATGTTTGGATATTTTTCAATAGAATGTTGAATAACGAGGTTCAAACAATTGGTTTTCTTTGTACAGTCTGTACATGAAGATCAAATGAATTTGTATCATTTTTTAACTATATAAGAGAAATGGTTCACATACATTATTCAAATCTTCTATTCAAAGTAAAATTGATTAGAATTCTCCTATTGCAGATTTTCGTGGTTACTTAATTGTACATAATCTATCCTTTTTAATCTCTCATGGAAATCCTTGGTTTTTTTCTCTTTCTTTGAATTGATTCTTCAATAATTTATTTTCTATAGTCCTGTGATGATAATCGAAGAATCAAATAATGACACACATGTCTCATAACTTTGACAGTTATTTTATTCTGGCCCTATTCTATTGCCGTAGATTCTTACTTTTCCCCTACTTCATAAGGTAGATTATAGTGCGCCCTGTACAGATCGAAGTTTAATATAGTTGCAAGTCACATAGAATTAAAAGAGAATGTTTGTTAATGTCATTATAACGTTTTGATTCGGAAACTTTTGACTCTCATTCATTACAAAAAATGAATGAAATTAAAGGAAATTATTATCAGTAGGAGAACTTATAGTAGTGATATTTAAATTATTAATATTAAATATAAAAATCGATTTTTCTTGATCTATGAAATTATGATTTCTAAATAAATTAGTTCTAAAAACACGAATCTATGTTTCGTTGTTCTTATCCTAAGATACGACTATGCTAAAAGCATATCGTTCATAGACACCGATAGATTCTATGTTCTTATTTCAGAATAAAAATAAATCAAAAGACTTGAGACCCTATTCTCGTTAAGATATACAAAGTTTCAAGTTGAAATTCAAAAATCTATTTTAATTGATTGTTAAAAGATTTTTCCTGACAAAAATTTATTAATTATTTCTAGCTGATGAACCACGTATTGAAAGTCCTCGAAAAATAATTATTGAAGAACAAGTGAAATTATTGGTACCTCATACTCGTGAACAAGTTATTGAATTATGTCATGAAGCATTAAAAATTTTATTTAATCAAAATAAAGATTTTTCTAATCGATCAGCTATTAAATGTCAAATACCTAATTCATATTTTAAATATGATGAACAAGGTATATTTTTCATCTTTTTTTTTTTTTTTATATTTAAATATTGTTCTTTTTTTTGCTAAAAAAGATTCAGATAATGAAAATATTCGACGTAATCATCATGCATATTGTCAAATGATATTTGATTTATGTATTGAATTATTAAATGAAATGTATACAGAAAATATTCAATTAGAAAAATATCCTGAATGGCAAAAAACTAAACTTATATCAAAACGTTTTTATCGTGGAAATAAAACAAATAATCGTCATTATATTGAACAATTTATTGAAACAAAAATTTTAGAAATATTAAATTTAAATACACGTCAAATAAAATATTCAAAATGGCGTGTATCAAATGGTACACGTAATGGTAAAGAAAAATTTGAAATTATACTTGATGAAGAAATACGTCGTACAGAATCTCAATGGATTGATTATGATGATGATTGTATGCAATTAAAATTTGATATAGCTGATTCAATATTAGATCAATTAATACAAGAAACAATAACAGAATGTTTAGATATTGTTGATAGACGTTTCTTTTTTAGCAGTAATAGTACACGTCTTTAATTCAATAAAGAAGAAAAAAAATAAATAAACAAACCAATTCTTATTTATTCTAATTCAATCTAGAATTTTTGTTTTTGTAAATCTTTCCATAAGACGATTTCTATTACCGTTTTTTTTTTTTTTTATTAAACTGTATTGTTTTGTTTGTGTGTGTGTGTGTGCTAATAAATAATTCGTTTGATTCAGTAAATCGATAGGACAATCCAGAGAATGGAATATATTTTTTTTTGCTTAAGGATTTAATCAATCAATACAATATAAAAGAAAATCAAACACAATGAAAAATTTATCTACATTTGTGCATTCGATTCTGCTCAAAACCTGTTGATGTTCTAGGCTTTCCATATTCTTACATTTTCATAATGAAGACTCGGGCCCTTAAACCTTTATTAACCCATTGACAACGGGAATTGTTACTTTTAGAAATATTGCAGAACACGTGATATCAATACACACTGTGTATAGAGAATTTCCTAAACTACCGATTGGTACAAAAAAATATTTTGTATCCTTGCACTGTATCTAACGTAGGAAAGATCTGCAAGTGGGACGCACCGATCAGGCGATTATTTTGTTCATTTCTGGCCAACACAAAGGTAGTTCAGACGAATCGTTGAAATCTATAAATTAGAATGAGAATTTTGTGCTCTTTCTGAATATGGACTTAGAAATTTTGTGTCAGTTTTTGTTCGAGAGTAGTGAGGAAATCTTTGATGAAAGACCTGAAAAATTAGTTTGGACAAAAAAATTTTTTCGTACTTTTATTGTTCTATCATTTGGTAGAGCAAAATCTGCCCTACAAAATGTACTATTTGAGTTTTTTTGGTTCTTAGACAAGACACCTCAATTTTCGTTTTTCCTACACCCTCATTTTTTTTAGAAATCGACTTTTTGACCAAACGGTGTTTTACATAAAAAGGAGCTTCTGATAAAATCACCTGTGTAAAAGCTACAACTTAATTCATATCATATTTTGTAAAGAAGTGTCCGATAATCGTTAGCATATTGGCAGAGGGGCGTATATAGGTTAGCAAAAACCTGTTAATGCGTCGTCCAAATTAGTTTTTAAAGACTTTCAAAGATTCCTTCAATGCTCTTGAATAAAAACTGATACAAAATTTCTAAGCCCATATTCAGAGAGAGCACAAAATTTTGGTTCTAATCCATAGGTTTCGACTTGTCTGAAATACTTTCAAACGGGCTAAAAATGAGCAAACATTTTGTCCCTGTTTTTCAAAAAAAAAACCGAAAATCTTTTCGTTTTTTCTCGTTGTATAGATTTTCGATCGCATTTCCAAGCATTCTTGAAGGACTTTCATTATAACTAATAGGTTTTTTTGGTTTGAAAAAGTGTGTAAAACTGCAGTGCCTATGAGAGCTCGTTTTTTTTTAAAATTAAGCTTTGCTTTTCGTATATATACAAACATTTATATAATTAGAGAGCTTTTTTTGAGTCATTGAACTTTCGATCCCTTTTTTTTCCTTAAAAAGTAAGAGTTTAAAAAAAAAGACTCTCACAGGCACTGCATTCTGACATCCTCTTTCAAACAAAAAACAAATATTAAATGTATAGACTGAAGGCTACAGATAATTTTTGAAGACGAAATGAGCTATTTTTTGACTCTTGTTTGGCCAATATCTTCCTCAGAAAATTTTACCATAGCCTTCCTATTACAGCCATAACATATCCTGAAAATCTCATGCCATTCGAACGTTCCTGGCTTGAGATCCATTTTTGAGAGGAACTAAGATCTATCTATACACAAAATTTCATAATTGAGTTTTTTTATATATAAATCTTGCTCATGGAAGAAAATACAGAAAAACAGTAGTGTAATTCAAGAAGAACAACTTATAGAGACGCTTATAAGATTATTAAAAAAAAGGATTTTTTCGTTTTAAATTGCTTTTTTTTTACCTACGAGAAATTTTTATCTTGATAATCTGATTGAATAAAATCTTTTAAAAAAATTTTTATGTGAATTAGTCGAACAAAAGATTGTATGACATAAAATGGTAATTGGAGTCACCAAATTACCGTGCATACAGGGAAGCACACCTAGTCGACCTCCGTATATTATTGATCTACTGAAGAGAACAATACTCCGTTTTAATAATTGTTTTATCAGTGACTCTTGTGAAAGCATTATGAGCGTAAATGATTAAAGATCGATTTTTCATTTTTCTGTTGATACAATTTGAAAATTTGCGTTAGGATAGGTTAACTTTTGTTTACAAGATCATACTTAATAAAATTAGATTTCATGAAAAATAATCAGCATGTTTCATGTTTAGATGAGTTTTGATTGTTCATAAATTAATTTGTAACACTTGAACTATCGACTAAACCTCTCGCCTCCACAGAATAGAAGCCCACTGGGTTTCTAATTCGTTCTGAAAATTATAAGTTTGGTCATGGGCTTTTATTGCGATAAACTTTTTTCATACTGCAGCTAAGATTTAATTGACTTACAGGCACAAAAGATCTTAAAAATTTACAAATCGAAATTAACAAGTTGTTTGACAACTTTCAGAATACTTATCATAGTTTCTTAGCAATTAAGAAGTGGTTACTAATTCTTTATCGGATGTACATTATCAAATCGACGAAGTAGTACGCTATTTTCATGACGTTTTACATTCATATACTCATCTACCCTCAGCATTTCGTGGATTTTGCTATGGATACGAAAAACCGCATTGAACATCATATGTTGATATTAGGCATGTCGAGTTTTGAAAGGACTTAAAAGAGCCTTCTATTAGACATACATCGATATAGTTCTGCTAGACGACTTCATCATGGTGGCTTATACACAGTTCAGATACGAAACGAAATATATTTTAATTATCACCTCAAAAATATAAAATAAGCCTGTCACTACATATTAAAGATCTTCCACTCCTTGAGAGATAGATAATTCAAATTTAATAAATGTTATAATAATTCATATTATATCATCTCACATTGACATTTATTTTTAAATCTAATAAGTTATCGCATAATTCATATTGTTCATAAGTTAGCTTTCTCAAAAGTCTCATCCTTCAATAAAACATTTGCTCATATTGCTGCTATGCGAATAAAAAATTTCGACATTTCGTTTTTGAGTTATACATAATCTTGTAAGAGGAAAAAACCTAACAGAACGATACTATTGCAGGTCTAACTTCGAATGGCATAAATTTAGTAGAAATAAAAAACGTCGAAAGTAAAAAATATCGAAAGTGCTATTAATGCAGCTTCATGCAGAAGGATCTATGTCCTGCATTTGCATATGATTAGTGTGTGCTGAAGGGGTATTAATAATGCTTTCGATATTTTTTCTTTCGACATTTTTATACATATCGGAATTTCTATTCAATAGTTCTTAGGCAATTATGTTTTATTAATATTTCAAAGATGTTCATTTGTCTGTTGCCAAAAAATATGCAATATAAAGAAAATTAGATATATAAACTGATATATATATAATAAAATAGTAAGCAGTGAGTTAATTTATCCAATTTTTAAAACTATTTATTTTGTGCTTATTTTGGACAGAGTGGACTTCTATTCTGTAGGGATGTTTACTCTATTATACATTTATCATTCGGGATAATGTAGAATACAAAATGGAAATTGATTCTTTGAAATCTATTCAGTTAATGAGAACGCAATCGAATATAAAACCATTTTTTAATCATCAATAAGTTGACAATACATTCATCAAGCACAAAACTTTGTAATACTTTAAATAGACAAATATAATTGAAATAGTCATGATGCTCAAAGTTTCTCCGAGTTACAGCGATCGGAGAACCATCTGAATGGATTATATCTTCAAAGCTGAAAAATAATCTGTTGAAATTAACGAAACAAATTCATTAGTATACAATTTGAAGGTATTAAAATCCTTCATGCTCATACTAAATGAGCACAGCTTTCCTTGAAAGCTAAGCTAATTTATTAGTCATGTAAAAAACATACTTTCAAAATGTTCTTATGAACATGCAAAATATATTGTGGAAAATGTTCTATCACTAATCTGAAAGATATTGTAAAAATACAACGAAGTTCGAGATTTCTATGTCTGAAATTTTGCACATAATCCAATATATGGGCAAAATCATTTGTTAACAACGTGACTTCGGAAAATAAAAATATGTATATCTCGAGATAATAAGTTCTCTTGGATTTGATTTTTATATGTTGCATGGACATTAAGTTACTCTAGATACTCAAAAAAAAATCAGCGCTATGAAGCTTCGTTCAGAGGTGTTACTGGTAAAAAACTACTGTTAGCGACGTGACACAAAAAAGAACGTTGAATTCCACTTCGTGTATTTTAGTTTTTAAAAACTCCCAATTTATGCATAATGTTAGAAAACTAAATAGGGCATTCTGTAGATGATCCCTAAAGCTGTAAAGTCTATATAAAAAAAAATTTCTGAGCATGTCTAGATTTTTCAAAAAAAAAACGATTTATTTGTCGTTAGCGACGTGACACAGTGCGACCGCACAATTAAGATGGCGTTCTTGTAACCAACTGAAAAGTTCAAAATCAACTTCAAACGTTACAAATCATTACTCAGAGTCCCTAGATGATGATAACAGAAAAATTTTCGCTTCTTCACTTTTTAGAGTCTCTAGAAAACCGGTTTTTCGGAAGAAACGTTTTGGAGTCCAATCTTACTGAAAATTTTACTATAAATGCAGCTTGTGTCCTAGACTCTATCTTGAAGTTTTCAGATTTTTTTCTCATATGGTTAGTGAGATATTCGCTAATTACTTTTTACTTAATAACCATGCGAAGGATCAAACATTTTGACATAAGTCTATGCCAAAAGAATTTATCCAAAAAATTTACTCATATAGAGAGTCAATCTCAAATGAAAGGTGCAAATCCGGATTTTGTCCATATGTTTAAGCATTATATTAGAATAGTTGTATTAAAATTACAACTTTTAAGAGAGTCAAATGAAAAATCTTTTGGCATATCCTATGTATAAAGATTTATTTTCATAGAATGTTTAAACGACACGTTAGAAAACGATACATCACAAACATTTGTTTGGCATCATTATCCAGAAAATCTTATTTTAAAAATTTTTATTCATATTGTATATTTTTATTTTGCATAATAAATACTCTCTGTGAACATTATTTGATTAAGAGCAGAAGCAATTTGAAAATGATGTTCTTAGAATTGAAATGAGCAAATCACTTTGAATTTTTCACGCGTTAAACCATTTTATCTATGCCAAGAATGATAGAACAATTTGGACAATGATGTACTGTGTCCTATACATTAAATATGTAAAAAAAAAAAAGAAAAAAGAAATAAATAATATATGTGTTTTACTGTCAAACCTTGAGATCATCAATACAGAGTGGAATCAAGCAGCACCCAAGAAAACATCCGCATGGAGCTCCAAAGAAACAAATACCTCCAACACTGGCCCATGTCATAAGACCATTTTTCTTTTCGATTCGCGTCACAATATTTTGATGACAATTTATACATACACAACGCACAGGATATTGACCTCTAATTGGAACTATTGGAACTAGAATTTCTGGATGTGGAGGAGGAGGAGGCGGTGCAAAATATTCATTTTGTTTATCCATTAAGGTTGTTTTTTAATAACCTATTGCGTTCAAAATGAGAATAGTTGTTTGTTTGACAAGTAATAAAAATATTTACCGTTTCTTAATGTTCTGGCACGTTTTTCTTTTTATCGTTATTAACAAAAAAGACGATGGCTCGAATGATTTGTTAATATCGTGCAATTTGTTGGCAATAGAAAAGAAAAACATGAAAACAAATCGTGTTGGATTTTTTTTTTCTTCTCTTCCGGTATATGACGGGCAAATTTATTTTTTCGATTGAAGAGAAAAGAAGATGGTTATACAGCAGCTCTTGCAAAAGTAAAAGGCGAAAATAAAATCAATAGCAAAATGGTGTAAGCAATGAATCATCTTAATATCGAATGCAAACATACGAGAAGTAGAAAGGATTTTTTTAAATAGATACTCGCATGACATAGTTGTATTTGTAGCAAGAACTACAATATCCCTATTACCAAACGAATACAGATGAGATTCTGCGGAAAATCATGATGCAATCCTTGTGAAAGCCTCTTTTTTCTTAAGCTCCCCCTCAAAAAAGTTACTTTTCGTCAAAATGATCGAAATTGAGATAATCTCATAGGGATATAGTTCGTCAAATGCTCTTTCATAAATGACAAAAGCTTTTACTCAACACCTCTTTTTTTCCGAAAATTCTGGAAGATTTTTGTCACCCCGTATTCGAAAAATAAGTGGTTTTTACAGAAAAACCGAAAATCATTATTCGTTTTTCTCAGAACGTGAGTTCAACGACGTATCTCCAGCAGGACTCCATCACAGTAAGAGATAAAGCCAAATATTTTTTTTTTGTTTGAAAGCTTATGTGCAGGGCTAGCGACTCTCGTGGCCCTTTTTTTAAAATAAGCTTTTTTATTATCATAGAAGATAACATCTCTATCGGAGCAGCGCAATTTTTAGAGAGGTTTTTTGAATCATTGAACTTTCGCTCCGGTTTTTTCCCCTAAAAAGTAAGACTTTAAAAAAAAAAGGGCCACGAGAGTCGCTGCATTCTGACATGCTCTTTCAAACAAAAAAAATTAAATGTCTAGAATGAAGATTCACAGAGAAAACTTGGAGATACTAAAGAGCTATTTTTACCCCTTGTTTGGTGCATATCTCGGTTAAACATCGTGCTATAGGGCTGAAAATTTGACCATAGCCATGTCTCATCAGCCCCAACATATCCTGAAATTTTCATGTCATTTAAATGTTCCTGGGCTGAGATCGATTTTTGAGAGGGGGAGGGGGGTGGCCTTAACAAAATTACAAAGACGCACTATCATTTTACAATAGAATAAGTGAAAAATCAACAAAACAGACAATTATTTTTCTTAAGTTTAATAGTGGTACAGAATTGATTTATCAATTCAGATGTAAAATCTATAGTTCATTTTATGTATTGTAATATCTATTGTATGTTTTGTCTTACAGCAACAAAACATCACATTATTGTATAGAAATAAAAATTAAAATATATTAAATAATCAATCAAGGAAGAGAATAAAAATGTCTGTGAATAGTAATGTGCGATCGAAAATTCAATTTTATATTTACGAGAATCTTTTGAAGGTCAATACAGATCGGAGAGTGACTCTTAAGTAGAGAAACATCAGCTTGCTGCTATAATTTACATTGTTTATCATTGTCATTGCCTCGAACTACTTAGAAATGGAAAGAAAGACTATAATTGAATAATTTGTCTCATAACCTTGCACCTGATTTTCAGTAGCTTAGTTGTCATGGCAAACTCTTCTTCGTCTTCCACTCGACTTACAAGTCACGATTCCAATTAGCCACTCGTTCTCAGTACTTAAGCATCACTTCAATTTGGAAAAAAAATGCCTGCTGAGATTCTATGAATGTGACGACTGTACATCTGAAATTCGAACAAAATTCGGCAGATATAAATATGCGGAAAACGACAAGTAACAGCTAATAGTTTCCTTATAAGGTGATGCATAAATCAATCTTAGATGATAAATGCATAAATACTGTAGTTATCGTCTTATGTAACTTAAAGCCGACTACAAGGATTTTACTCCGGAAGAGAATGTATACAGGTTTGTAGGGGAAGACTTTCTCTGTCTAATGGTGTGTGTATTATCAAGTTCTGTTCTGTTGCATATCAAAATTTTCGATAGATAGCACTACTTTTTCTAAAATACAGCGAATGTAGCGTCATCTATCGAAATTTTTGCTATACAACAGAACTTCATAATACATACACTTGTAGACAGAGAAAGGCTTCCCCTATGTTAGCGTCAATAGATGTTGCTTCATGACGCTAACTTATTTTTCAATGTATAATTTTTGTTTTCTTTGCTATGTGATATATATGTATGATACTGTTGATCATCATGAGTACAGGGTGACTTTTCACATTGCACCATTTCTTTTTTTCCTTTTCTTCTTTATTGCGTTATTTTAATATTTTTTGTGATTTCTATTACGATCTTTTTTTTTGTATATACGTTGTTATTATTACCATTAACGCCAATAAAACCTTTATTGATTATAATTATAAATTATTAATTAATCAAAACATCTGATTATATATTTGATTAACTGAACATTACAGTACGATAGACAGTTTATTGTGAGTTTTTCTCAATAATAAGCAGATAAAATTCCTTCAAGGTATAAAATCGCCAAATTCAGTCTAAGTGATATACGGAAGTTAAAGCCATCAGTTACATCTCGAAACGAGAATCTCACAACCTGCATACATTCCAATCCGGGTTCAAATATGACCCTGAAATATTATAGTCGCTTTTATCCACGATGTAGTCTCAAACGTCTAGAAAAAAACTTAGCATAGCTTATAACGATTAAAAATAAGAGACAATGTATTAAGAGCATACGAAAAAGCAATTAGTACTAGAAACTGTTTCAATAAGAAAAAAAAGCTACAAAATATTTGCTTTTTATCTAACTGATTAATTCATTTAAAGAACAATTTTTTTGATCGCAATATCAGCTTGTTCTAAGACATTGGCAAAAAGTTCGTGAAATCAATCCGGCTATATATTACAAAGACTAGTCAAATCAAACATCCATGCAATTTTTATTTTTGTTTAATTTTGTCCTATAAATCAAGAAATAACGCTGTGTATTCAAATGAATACGTGGTATTCGGAATAGATAGTTAGTAAAACCTGTCGGATTTCCTCGAGTTCGAAAATATTGTACCCGACGGGATCTAATGGCTAGTCGGTCGATGAAAATGGAGAATACGATAACGATTCTTAATTAATGCATTCGAATTGTGTTATGATCAATATTCAAAATGAGCGTTATTGTGTTGCTGCAAAATATCGTATTATCAACAAAAAGTATAGCACTTTATCCTGCACTCAAAAAAAAAAGGGAAGAAGTCAGACCCACGAGCAGTAAAATTCGATTATTGTGTTTCTGCTTGATAGAAAGCAAATACACTTCTCTTCAAGTTACTGCTTATATACACCTTTTCTTTGACAGAACAAAAAAAACACTTCTCAACTTTCAAGCATGTTGAAATGTGCTGTACAGAACACTAATTTATTTTCTTTTCACTTTGAAATAAAAGAACGATAAAATTGGTCGTGTCAGTTAACGAATTCGTGCTTTAAGCTTGTGAATATTTGCGAATAGTATTCGTCACCTATATAAGTTCGATTCTTACTTCAGGACATTCTTCTCTATGCATATTATTAAATATAATTTTCATCTTCAATTTGACGAGCGGATAACAGCTTGAAATCATTGTCAAACACATTTAGTTTTACTTCAATTCTCTAATAACGACAAAAAAACTTTCTAATCGAGTGTTATCTTAATCAATGATTTAATTGTAATGTGCTAATTTATCTCATTTGAATTTAAAATAAGTCATAAATTGAATGTGTTACTGAGATTCTTCAATAAATTGTTCCAAGTATTCAGATTCATTTGACTAAGGGTATTGGTGTAAACTGACTGTTATACTCAGTTTTAGACGACGAATAACACAAAACTATAGTTTGCAATGTTTCGATAAAAAAAAAATTGAATTTTTCCAAATACGCGATTTGATACACTTCGGATGTTTCCAAATTTACTTTCCTACAAGACGATAGAAAAAAAAATTGAATCTCATATATTCACGATCAACACATTAATTTTGCATTCTTGGCATCTTAACAAAAGATTTAATAAAAAAAGTTCATGGTGAAATGAAAGACAATTGCAATTCGATAATTATTAATTTATCAAGATCACACCATTTAGACCTACAAAAAATCAAACAATTTTAAAAATTTTTAATCAAATTCTCGTTTTTTTTGTCATTCTATAAAAAAAATAAATTCTTTTCTTTTTCAACAATTCTAACATTTAGATTTGATTGTAATGAACTGTTCAAACAAGAAGATTTACTTATTCAGATTGTTTATTTTTTTGCAAACAAAATGTAATTTAATATTCTATTTTCATATGTTGTTCTATCTATCAGATGTCCGCTTTATCTAGATTACATTCAAATAAAAAAACAAAAGAAAAATAAATTCATTAAGTAGACAAAGATATAAAATATTTTCTTTTTAAATTAATCATAAACTATAAATATTTCTTATATATATATATATATTTGATAAGAAAACTATCGTTTGTCACTTCACTTCAAGAAATTAAAGAAAGAAGTAACTATTCAATCGGAGAAAAAAAAATCAGCTTTACGCATAGTCAATCACTCAAAGAATAGAAAAGAAAAGAAAAGAAAAATTTCTTTCTTTTATTTCTTTTTGTTCAGGTAATAGTTCAAGGTTACTGATTTATTTCAACAATCATCCATAGAACTCACTATATTCGTGACACGTATGTGACAAGATTCATCGAGACATTTTCAATTCTTCATAAGAAGAAAAAAAAAAAAAAACTCCACACTGTATTTTGTTTCTGTTCTTTTTCTTCAATGTTGTCGTTGTGAATATTTGGTCGATGTCATGCAAATTTAAGAAGCGTACAACAAAAAAAAAGAAAAGATTATTATGTTGAAGGCAGTAAGCATAGTAACGTGTATAACTATAATTTCAATTTATACTTTATTAATTACTATTATATATCCTTATGTATGTTGGTTTAAACATCGACCATCAGACGATGATTATTCTATATTACCACCAATTGCTACAATTATTAATAAAAAATCAACAAAATCTTGTTCAAATAAAAATCAATTGCATTTAATGCCTATGCCTTCGAAAATAATTTTATTAAATAGAACAAAAACTATTCATATTCCTTCAATTATTCGTATTGAAACAAAACGTTCTTTATCATTTTCAATTTTAAAATCATTTAAAAATGCTTCATTTATACTTTATATTGATTATGAATTTGATATGAAAAATAATTCATATCCATATTTAGGTATAGATGAATCATATCAATTAAATATAACTTCAACTAATCATGCTTTTTTATATGCTAAAACATATGTTGGTATAATTCGTGGTCTTTCAACTTTTCAACAATTACAATATCATGATAAAATATCAATACCTCTTTTAATTTTTGATAAACCTCAATTTATATGGCGTGGTTTAATGCTTGATGTTGCACGTCATTTTATTCCAATAACAATTATTAAACAAACAATCAATTTAATGCAATTAGTTAAAATGAATGTATTACATTTACATCTATCTGATGATCAAGCTTTTCGTCTTGAATCTAAATATTTTCCTCGATTACATGATTCATATGAATTTTATACACAATTAGATATGAAAAATCTTATTGAATATGCTCGACAACATGCTATTCGTATTGTACCAGAATTTGATATGCCAGCACATACAACATCATGGTTTATTGGTTATCCATATTTAGCAACTTATAAAAATATTTCGTATCAATTAGAAAAAACTTGGGGTATTAAAAATGCAACAATGGATGTAACACGTCAAAGTACATATGATTTTCTTGATAAATTTTTTTCTGAAATGACTCATTTATTTCCTGATCAATATTTTCATATTGGTGGTGATGAATGTGAACCATATGAATGGATGCAATCAGAACAAATACAAAAATTTCTTAAAAAAGAACGATTGTATGATCACCAAGGTTTACAAGCATATTTTACCAGACGAGCGGAAAAACTTTTGAATAAATATAATCGTGAGTATCGTTTTCCATCATATTTTAAAATTAAAGACAGAACATATTAGTCTAAAAATTCTTAAACAATATCTGTATTTTGATATTATTTGCAGATCTTAGGTATAAATTCAAGTTTTGTAAAACAAAAAGATACAAAAGTTTAAAAATTCTTCAATCTGATATTTTTAAGGGCATTCCCCTTTTCGGGGTTTCTCTAGAATGGTTAATCAGAAAAAAAATTGAAATTTTCACAATTGATAGATCTCGATGTGTAGAGTAAAAGTTGTCATAGACTCAAAATTCCAAAATGCACCTTTTTAGAAGATATTGGGATCACAATGGCTGAAAACCGTCCTCATTTCTCAGTTACAGTACGTCCTATTGAGCTGACATTCTTTTTACACATACTAGACACTGTTTGGGGTGATTACTTTTTTTTTTGGTTTCTTTCTATGTCGTACCGTTTGAATATAGAAGCCCAAATACGAAGAGCACCCTAAAAAAACGCGTGTTTTTTTTTGAATAGTGTTTGTCTTGTAAGACCTGTTAAAACTTAGCGGTACAATATTTTTCAAAACAAAAAACAAAATAGGCACCCTAAAATATTTCTACTATCTGTAGAAAAAATTTCAGTCCGATCGGATTTACTGTACTTGAGAAATGGGAGCGATTCTGTAGATTTTTGCTGAAAAATCTGGTTTCTAGAAAACCTTGAAAGAAAAAAAAATAGTATTACTCCAGTGCGGTAATTGATTTTATTTTTTGCTTTAAAGGTATATTTGAGTTCTCAAAACATCACCAGTAGGTAGAGAGGCATTTGAAAGCACATGTAGAACAGAAAGAACGAAAAATTTGGGTCCGAAAAGGGGAAGTCTCTTAAGATTTGTTTATTATTTATCAGTACACATCGAATGTATCGCCTAGTTTCTAAATAGATTTCTAATGTAATACAACTTTCTCCCTGAATAAATGAAAGTAATCGTTATGTGTAAGTTCGCATAAAGCACGATAACTATTTTAGCCAAAATATTCAGTATATGATTTTTTTTAATTTTGTAATTATAGCTTTAAGTTATTTATGTATTGGAAGAAAGGAAGAATATTCCTACCTTTCCGTATGGGGTGCTGCCTAATGACAGACTCAATAGCCTGATACCTTCCATACAACTAATACTAGCCATAGTTTCGAACAGAAGATCCACAAACGTAGCCAGTATGCTATGGATCCATATCTTCGAAGTTTCATATTTCGAATATACATTATTTAAAACTTGTAATTTTTCTCATTTGAGTTCCCTATATGCACAAAGTATCAGATCGAAATTCGAAAATACGAGTTTTCTGAAAATCTGAAAATACTAGAAAAAAATTCGATAGTTTAATCCAAATTCTTTTCGAGTTTTTATTAGAATATACTATGTAGCATCTATATACAAAAGATCATTGACATCGAAAGAGGATAATTAAAGAAGTTTCCTCAGTAGCTATATAAGACATATTGATCTTATACAAAATTTATTTTAGGTACAATGATGGGTTGGGATGAAATAAGTACATCAAATCTTTCACATCAATCAATAATTCAATCATGGCGCGATAAAACTTCTCTTATAGATGCAGTTCATCGAGGTTATCATGCAATTCTTTCACATGGTTTTTACTTAGATCATATGTCATCAGCTGAATATCATTATAATAATGATATTAAAATAGATATAATACTTAATAAAACCGAACAAAAACGTATTCTTGGTGGTGAAGCATGTCTATGGACTGAATATATTAATTCAAATATGGTTCATTCACGTACATGGCCACGTACAGCTGCTATAGCTGAAAGATTATGGTCATCAACATATGATAAAATTGAATGTATGTATGATAGACTTGCTATAATGGATAAAATTTTTTTTCATTCAAATGATGAACAATATATAAAAGATTTATCAACATTAACGAGAAATGTAAATTCATTAAAACTTTTAGCTGATCTATGTGAACCATTAGGTTTACAAGGACGTGATCGTACACGTAATTATACAAAACAAACATTATTAAATCGTTTTGTTGATATTTTAAAACCTGAAAGTGAACAAATACGACAATTAATAAAAACAAAAAATATTTCATTATTATATTCAACATTTATTTCATGGAAAATTAATTTATTAAATATAAATTCAAATGATACAAATATTTTACAACTTTCAGAAAATTTAGTTCAACTTAGTGAAATTGGTATTCGTTTATTAAAATTACTTAATCAAAATCAACAAAGACAAATTGTATCATCAAGATGGTATTATTATCAAATTTATAAATTAAATATATTAGAATATCAAATACCTGAAATAAGATTAGCCGGTGTACGAGTTATAAGAAATTTACTTGAAGAATTTGATCCATGTTCATTTGATTTAATTAATCTTAGTCTTATTTTATGTTTTCCAATAATTGTGATTTTTGCACAACGTATTGGTTTTATTCGACGACGTATTCTTGTTCCATGTTTAAATTTTATTTATTATTATTGTGGTCGTTGTTAAGTCAGATGAATTTTTTTTTTTTTATTTTCAAAAAATAAAATTTAAGAATGACAAACAATCAGAAATTTAATATAAAATAATAGTTAGAGAATATTTCGTGTAGACAAGATGTTTATTCACCTATGAGTTAGGACTAAACTTTCGTATTCTTTTCGAGTATGAACTTACGAAGGAAGTGCTTCAATTGATATTCATCGTTTGAGCTCATATTGAATTCACAAGCAGATCTCAGTGAGACTAGCAAAAATGTAAAAGGATCCGTCTTCTTCGACCTTTAGCATCGAGTAACGAAGTTTTGATCTAGAATTTTGTCTATACATCGGACTCTTCGAATATTCTGAAAGTTTCGGCCGAAAAAGAATGGTCCTTTGTCAATATATTGAATTTTCAAAAATAGCTCTTTGCTACCGACAAGTCATAGAAATCGAGTTCACTTCAAAATTCAATAACTCAACGAAGAAACATTGTTTTCGGCTGAAACTTTCAGGATATTTTAAGAGACTGATCTATAGGCAAAATTTTGGATCAATATTCCATTATTTGATCTTTCAGGAGTACCTAAAAATGGGTTAAAAATTCAGTAAATCGGTTATAACTCAGCGGCAAAGGTCAAGATTTTTGCTATACTTACTGAGGCGTGTCTGTAGGTTTAATATGAGCTTAATCCTTTGAGTCCGATCCTGAGATTTCGAAGCCTCAATAACTTTAAAAAACACGACCTGTTGATTATTTAATGGTATGAATTGCATGAAGATTGTCTACACTTACTGATGATTATTGGTTGTCCCTTAATTCTTTGAATACGGGATTATTTTTACATAGTAAAAAGTGCGAGGAACGGTTGATAGACAAATCGGCCCTATAAAGATTTTTTGATTCGAAACCCCAACTATGTTATACCAAATGAAAGAGCTCGGTGAGTTGAATACTTTTTGTGACAAAACTTGGTCGACTAAAATGGCTGAAATTTTACGAGTTAGCTTACGCAGTATTCTTCCTGATTTCATTTAAAAGACCAAGTTCTGCCACAAAAATTTTTATAGGGCTGATTTGCTTGTCAACTGTTTCTCCCATTCTTTTTACTATATAAAAGTAATCCAGGACTCAAAGGATTAAACAGTGAGTGTTACTTGAGGTAGTATCCTCTTAAGTCCATATTTGAAAATAATATGAAAGTCTGGTCCTAACTCAGAGCTTTTGACTCATTAGAAATACTATCTATCGAGTGGAAAGTGAGCAAACATCTTGTCTAAAATCTTTCTGATCATCCGTTACTATCGATCAGAATTCAAGGAGTTCAGATGTTTTTTCGAATAAGTTTCATTTAGGTTTCTTGTTACATATTTAGACAATGAGTTTTAAAAAGGCATATTCTATCTCATTTTGACTTCTAATATCACTATTTCATAGAAAAAATGGTTTTCTTTCGAATTAACCAAGATCGACATTTCTAACTTGTTCCATTCAAGAAGTTTAAATGTTTTGTTAGAAATTTCATATATGTTTTCGTTGACCTACGATTACTCGAAAATATATTGGGAGAGAAATAGTTAGTCGAATTGAGTCGAATGATGATATTTGTTCATCGTTTCAGAGCAATATGATATCTCTATCCATATGTTTTTTGTATTTTCTTTTTTTTTGCCGGTAGATCTGGAACAAACAATGCTTTGAAATGAGAAAACAAACGTTACCACTCGACTAAATTTAAGATAAACCTTATAAAAGGTAGAAATGCCGACCTTAACTTGAGCAACAGAAGCTCATTTTTTCTATGACCCGATGATATTACAAGTCCAAATGAAACAGAATATACCTTTGAGATCTCACGAACAAAATGTCTACCAAGAAATTGATTGAATGAATCGCTATTGACACCAAGGAACATTGATATACTTGGATGTCTACCAGAGACATTCACAGGATAGGGTTAGATCTTTATACCTTGTAAATATTGAACATCAAATTTTTGAAATTTTCACCTTCAATCAGGCAGACCCCAGTAATGCTCAACAAGGGAACATACTCTTATACCTTCCTTTCAGAGTTATAGACATTTTACTGAAATTTCAGATGATGACACCATATAGATCAAAAAATCGAATAACAACATATTCAACCTGAAATTTTGTTCCCAGATAGGTCTATTCGTATCTACAATTCTCAGTTCAAAATAATGTTTCTTTCACAAGATATTGCATTTCGAAAAATTCTTCATATCCCACGAAAAATGCAAAAAATCTAATGTCTTTTTAAACACGTGAAGGAATCATTCGTTTGAACTGACAATTGTAGATACAAATAAGTCTGTTTATGTACAAAATTTCAGATCGAAGTACTATCACTCGATGTGTTGATATATATCATAGCATAGGCTGAAAGTTCCAGAGCACTGGCTATAGTTTCGGAAGGAAGACATAATGAAACTTTTCATTTTTGTGATCTATCTATGATAAAAATTTTCAATCAAACAATAATTATCCAGAACGTAGATTGAGAATGTTATATGTAGAATATTTAAAATTTCTTCCTGGGCTACATTCATGTGAAAAATAATATTTGAAAGCACTGTTTTTTTTTGTTATGTATATCATCGATGAGCACTCACAGCGGACACAGTGAATTTAATTTCTCGGATAATTGACTTTTGAGCTAGATAAGTAATTATACAAAAATTGTGATATTGTTTAATCATTATGTATTTCTTAAAAGATGTGTAATTTATGGGAGATTATGTGGAGCGTCACACACCTTCGCTACTTTTGAAAATTATTCATGTAGTACTCTGCGTCTTCAATGCTGAATTAAATCTCAACATAACAAGTACTGACAATGTTTAATTGTTTTCACTTTCTTCTTTTGTTTTTTTTTTGTATTTAATAAATTATCACGTATTTATTTATCTTTGCAACACATTATTTATAAACATACATTTATTCCTTTTTTTTTTACTTTGGTTTACTACTTGTTGTATTAATATTATATTCTTGAATTAAATTTGGTAAAAGTTGTAATGATTCAAAATAACCATATTTATGTGGTGTTGTATAATTTTTTCCATATCGTTCTTCAATAAATTCAACTGGAACAATATAAAATTTTTTTTTAAACATTTTAAATGTTATTAAATGAAATTTTTTAAATTTCCATCGACATTTTTTATAAATCATTTTATTACATAAACCATTATATGTTGCTGCCCAATAATCAGATGTTTTATTTAATTCATCTAAAGAATAATAAACAAATATATCAATAGGAATATGTGTTATTGGACATGAAAATCTCCATTCTTGTCCATGATCTATTCGACCATAATGATAATGATATTTAAAATGAAATTTATTTGTCATAATTGATATAAATTTTTTTTCATTAATAGATTTTTCTTTTAAATCTTTATAAAAAATTCCAATATCCATATCAGTTGAAATAAAATTTTTTGAACGCCAATACATAAGTGCACTACCAAATGTAATAAACCATGGAATCGATAATGATTCTAATGCTTGATGAACATCAAGAAGACAATAACTATAATTATCTCTAGGTTCAATATTAATATTTGTTTTATTCGATATTAATTCATAAAAAATAAATAATAGTAAAATAGGAAGAATTAACAAACAAAATCGAAGATAGTTTGAAATACGCGGCATAAGATATATATATATATAAATGTTCGAATCAATTAATTAACTAAAACATTGCGTTGAATATATGCAACATACTTAAATCATAAAAAAGAAAAATTACTTGTTAAAATAGAGTTAAATATTATATTTTTATTTTCATATGAATCGATTTGATACCTTTGAGAACAAGATATCGTTTAAATTAAGTTTGATTTTCTTATCATTCAACTCTCGTTTATAAGTACGTCATTATTATTATCTTATAACAAATCATTAATCATATCAGGAAAAAAAAAAGAAAGATTAAATTATTAATCCACTTATTTTATCTATATTTGAGAAGTAAATATCATCATTCAAAATCTGTCAAGATGGTTATATGTTATTTTATATAACACACACTACGCAATTTATGCAGAACATATGGTCATACTTCCTGTCAAAATCGCATTTTTTATATAAGAAAAAAATAAAATTAGTTTCTACTACATAGAAAAATTTTTATTAACGAAGATTCTTAATTGATCCATACTGTTTTCGCTTATGTTTGACTCGTACAGTAGTGAACAAAAGTCTTAGAACTTTTTATAAGCAGCAGTAGTCGTCATCTCATCAGAATCACTACTCATTCCTTCAACATTGTTGTTAATAGCTGGTCTTTACCAGTATGTCAACAGTACAATATTATATTTTTATCTCAACATTGGTTGAGTTCAAAGCTTAATCATGTTTCTATGGCAAAAGCATTTTATTGTGACGTCACAATAGTAAAATATTGGCTTAAATGATGGAAACAATCAAACGACTTGATTCATTCGATCACTTGAAACAACCAAAAAAAAAAGTAGAATCAAAAAATTATTTCACTAGGCGAGACATTGTAAACCAACTGAAGCGAAAATAACTCATGATCAATGAGTGAACGGTACGATGGCTAGGCGCGAAATACAATCAATCCAAGTCGAAGCTATTGTTTACGGAAGAGTAGCGAGAGAATTGTTTAAAATACGCGCAAGATCATAAGACTATGATGGCAACTTCTCAGAAGAAAAACATGCATAACTTTTGCAATATAACGTGAATGAATTGTCCTACGATCGGAGTCGACCATCAAACTTGTACATAGTATGAATTATCGAATTTTTGAAGTTGATAAAATTCAAAATGATCTTATATTATTACATTAAATGATCAGAATATACTATGACCCTTATACATAATAAAAATATTTTCATTCGATCATCTAATTTAGTAAAGTTTGTCTACGGGAGGGAAGGGAGAGACTTTTATCCACTGTGGATGAATTGTGCGAGAATCAAAGAAGTATTTATTGTGTTTTTAAGTTTTTAAGATATTCTAAGAACAATTAGATCTATCTACTAGTAAAATTACAATTTTAAAAAAATCTGGTTATATGTCCAAAGCTTAGTAAAAGATTTATAACTTGTGAGAAGTTAGAGTTATGCGTGGTTTATTGATATGATTTCACTTTTTATATAGAAAAAAAAAATGAATATAGTCATATCGATTGAAAGAAGTTGCATCAGTCTAAATCATCTTAGGCTGTTTCTTACAATGAAATCTTTTGTACTGTTCATCAAGAAGATTGACCATGTTCGAGTCAAATTATCACTCACATTGATAAACTAACAAATTTAAAATCTTACATGTCTATAACAAATCTGGATCGAGATATTTTAAATTTCAGTATGTAAACATAATAATATGAAAACTATTCATATCCAATGTTTTACATAATCATCATGAGGTTTTTGAGGTAATATCCCATGTCATCAAAATCGCAGAAAAATCAATGATTTTATCGCGATTATTCAAATACACAATGGTCGATAAATAATATTAAAATAAAGATAATTAATTACCTTCGCATCTGTTGAATTAAATAGGCTGATCTTTTTTGTTAGTGTTTGAAGTTCATTCAAACTGTTTTTTTTTCTCATGGAGATAAACTAAAAAGAAAATTACTATTAAGGGGACCCCCCCCCCTTTCCCGACTCAAAATTTTCACATTTTTCATTTTTCATTTTTTGTGATTAGTATATAGATTTGAATGCCCTCTATCCATTCGGTACATTTTGAGAACCGAAAAACCACATCTTATATATAAAAAATTCGAAAAAAATCACAAAATATGCTGAAAAAACCAAAAAAACACAAATTTCTTTGCGTTTTTCTCAAAATCAGTTTTTTCAGCAAAAAAATGAAGTTTTCCCCCTTTTTCTCCGCCATTTCAAGTCCGATCGGGCTGAAAATTGTTTTGGTGAGACTTCAAGTGATTTGGGTTGGGCGTTTTTTTTTTTTTTTGGATACCTTCTACCAATCAAGTTTGGCAGGCTTCGCAAAATTTTTAGGATCCAAAAAACCTAGAGATTTTGCAAGGTGCTCAGTATTTTGGTTCTCCAGCCTGAAGTATTTGGAATTTTTGAAAAAAAAAAAAAACGCCCACCCCGATTGGGTCCGTCTACCCACAGCAAAAATTTCAGCTCAAACGGATGAAATTTGTGGATTTGCGGGGGGGAAAACTTTTTGCAAGTTTTTGACCTTGGGGTCTCTGGAAGTCCATGAAGATGACGTCTGGCAAATTTGTATCTATGACAACTTTTGCTCTACTACTCGAGGTCTATCTACCCTGCAAGTTTCAGGAATTTTCGTTCGGCCGTTTCTTAAAAACGCCGGAAAGGGGGGGGTCCCCTTAAGTATTATTTTTCGTATGACGAAAGAAATTTGATCGATGATCAACTAAAAAAAAAATGTACGTCTAACATTTCACAGAGGATTTTTAGTTGTCAAATAGAAGAATAGTAAGAAAAAGTCGAAACTAATTTTATAAATGCATTTGTATTAGTATATACAGAACAAATTTTTAAAATTATGTTAGTTTAAAAGTTAATGAATACAAATTTTCTAGTTTTCAAACATAAAAACACTGTTTTTCTTCGCAAGAAATGTCATATTTATAATATTGAAAAAGCTGCATTTGTGTATTTTATTTATGAGACATAAATTTAAGGATTTAAAATTGACTAATTTTAAAAATTTACTCTATATGCATCAATACAGATTCCTTCATAGAGTTCGTTTCGACTTTTTTTTATTATTATCCTATTTGACAACTGGAAATTATCTGTAAAACGCTACACATGTGTTTTTCTTATTACATTGACACATAAGTTTTGCACGTTTTTTTAATTTTTTGGACCAATTTCAGGCTTTACATCTCTTTCCAATCACGAGATATAAAACCTTAAAAAACAAAAAAAACCGTACCGAACACATGTGGCAATGTAATATTTGATAATAGATCAAATTCCTTACACGATATGAAAAATGATATGTAATGCCTAATATTTGCTTATTTTATCCTTCTGAAACAAAGAAGTTTAAATTAATTTCTAAAACTCATAAAAAAAATCAGCATGTTTAATGAAACCGAATGCAAAGATATTTCATTTTTTTTAAATTTTAGTACTATTTATGGACCATCCTGTAATATTTTCAATAATTTCATGTGGTTCTAGTATTCGAATCTGCGACTATGACCATGTGTCGACATGTATATACCACCGTACTCATACATGTGTCTGATTAATGAGGAGAGGAATGATTTGTTTTTTCCCTATCTACAATTAACGGTGCAAAAGAGATTTTTTTTTTAGTTGAATAACATTTGCTATTCAATTGAGATGGATTTGAAGATCTAAATACAAGAATACTCACTGTTCACTTTGATGATGAGACGATCTAAACATAAGAAAAAAGAAAATTTTTATAAAATAATACTTTTAATTGAAATAATCAGATGATCTAAATAAAAGAAAAAAGAAATTATTGTTGTAAACTAATACTTACTACCCATGTCACACGTTTCTTTGCAGTACTGTCGGTATTTCGCCTTACTCATAAGAATCGGTGGTAAGTACTGACGATACATCGGTCGTTGCGCTTAGTAATTTCGGTTTCAAGTACATTCGATTGGAAAGTATTTTATACTCAAATTTGAATATATTATTAGAAAGAATTCAAATTCATGAAGAAAAAATTACAAGTTTCAGACTATATTATGTTCATGAAAGCATTTTCAGCGCCATCTATAACAAGTAACGCTCGTCTGTGGGCTCGCTCAGCTCTTTCTCATAGAAATGCTGTTTCTGGACTCTCCTCAAATTATTCACTTATCTATATTACTAATAGTAACTCTTACTACTCCTTAGCATTGCCAGCTTATTGACACAAACTCATCATAGATTCTCATTTTTTATTTGAAAAATCTTTGATCAAGTTTTCCAGAGAAGACACTAATAATAGTAGTACTTAGACAAAAAAAATCAAAACAGACTTCGGATTCAGATTCCTAACCTTCAATTTCCACTTTTCGAGTGTTGTAAAAAAATATTAATGATTAATAATTAAAACAGATTCCAGATTTAGGTTCTCCACCTTCGGTCAAGTTTCATCGAAAATATTAATAATTAATAATTAAGTAATAATACGTTAATAATTAAAGCCGACTTTGGATTCGGATTGTCCACCCTCAATTACCTTTGACCAATTTTTTTGAAAAAAAAATTAATAATTAATTAATTAAAACTGATCTCGAATTTGGATTTTTCACTCTCGACTACCTTTGATCAAGTTTTATGGAAAATAATCCCTTTTGTTTTCACAGTATACTTCGACCAATCAGTGAAGTGCGGACATACAAGCAAGCAAACAATTTCTTCTTACTAAACTCTTTTCTACGAGAAAGAGAAAAATAAAACAATTTATCTCATTCAGAGTTGTGGTCGATTAAGACTCTATGACTACTACAGGCAGCCTAGATCCACTAACATCAATTGAACTACATCGAAATCGATTCAAATTTGTCAGTTTTAACGAACTTCAAAAGTACATTCCTATTTTGATAGAATACACGATGATACAACGTTCAAAAATAGCTGCGGTATACCATCAGTTTTTATTCAGGTCGAATCACACATGAGTGTCCATTTTAACAATCAGAT